TATCAGTTTTCGGGCAGTCGATGCTTAACCACACCCAGGGTTAAGGCGGATTGTCACTTACAGTGTAATTAACGAGTTACGGGATTCTGCAGACTGTTGAGGGTTCAGCCTCTACTGATTAATGAGCTGTCCTCTTCTCCCTCTCTGCCTACGGTTTACCGGGCAGCTCTGTATGACCATGTATATAGATATATTATTGTCACAAAGTTATCAGAGCGCAAAAGCAAAAAAAAAAAAAAAGGAAACAGAAAAGATATATATATGCATAATTAAATACGAAATACGTATAAAAAAACAAGATTTCCCATCAATCAAGGAGATCGACTAAGCCAGCAACTGTACCCGATCCAGGTTAGAAATGCACCCCCCCAAATACACAGAAAAAAGCAGGTCACTCCACTTACATGCACAAAAACTAAATATGGCGGTGCATCTTCCCATGCTTCAGATGAAGATTCATTCTCATTTTGCACACTTGGTGAGTGGTGGAGCCAGCCCAAATGACCGTACATTCTTTTCCAGGGAAGACAATAGACCAGCAATACCTTGACACTTCCACGAATGCTTAGGCAGAAGAAAAGGGCACAAAGGACAAAATATGGCGATGAACCTTCCCATGTTCTGGCGGAAGATTCATTCTCATTTTGCACCTTCGGTGAGTAGTGGATCGAGGCCCAATGACCGTACGTTCTTTTTCAGATAAGAAAATAGGTCCCTGCAATTTCGTTTAGGTCCGGGACTGCTTAGACAGAGGGAAGGGATAGGAGAACCAACTGGCCTAGCTCAGTTGGTACACCCCCCTTGGACTGCTGAAGTACAGAACTGAGAGGGAACTCCACTGGAAGCATATGAGAAAAATACTATCAATTCTTGATTACCGAGGGCCGGTCAATGATAACTCAAACCCATAGCGCCCCCCCCTTTCCGCCCCCCCCCCCCCAACCCCAAAACAACAAAAAGGAAGAGGAATAGGAGGAACTTGTTATTTTGAGGCGCGATGCCAGATGGGAGTGTGGTCACTATCGTCTACATCCGAATAAAGAACGGCCGATCATTATAGCTGCATTTGGGGCAATTTCTAGTCCAGATACAGTGATGATAACCGGGCGTTCTATTCGGGTGAAGATGGTACTCAAGACTTCGGCTGAGACGGAGATTCTTCCTTACGTGACTGCGGAGGGAATTGCGTCCTGCCGGCCCCGTTCCTCCACTCGCCCAATGATAAATCGTGAATGAATCTAGTCACGTCCTCCGCCAGAATAGTCGTGACCATTTCACACCACCAAGAAGTGGCCCGCGACCCCGTACCGTGTAACCCTCGTTCCACCACTTGCCCAATGTTAAATTGCGAATGAATCTAGTCACGTTCTACGCCAGGATACACTGACCATTTCCACACTGGCAAGCAGTGCGCCGCGACCCCATACCCAGTGTGGGTGATCAGCACCGAAACAGGTCCCCAGTGCGGTGTTAGACTTGAAAAAAAAAAAAAAAAAAAACGATCTCAAACACAGCAAATAGGTACTAACAAACAATAGTAGCATCTAATCCCTGACCCCTCGATGGGTTCCTGGTAATGGTAGACGGGTTTTGAAGGAGATCAGATGACTTCGTTTTATATTCTTTTATTCTCTTTTTCGCGCTTGTACAAGTGAATCGTGTCGTTTTCAGAAGTGGAATCAAGATCCGTTCTGCGTTCAAAGATTAGCTTTCGCAATCCGCTTCCCTCACCGAACGACAACGGAGATCTCTCTCTCTCTCTCTCTCTCTCTCTGTGACAAAGGTGTTCCCAACTCTCTCCGCTCTCACACACAAGGGAACTCCCAACTCTCCCAACTCTCTCTCTCTCACCCACCCACCCACACATGCACACACCCACACAAAGATGCTCTTCATTGTTTCTCACAAACCCACACCCACACACAAAGGTCTTCCGAACCTCTCTCAAACACGCACTGTCCAACTTTGACTGTGTCGCGAGCGCCTAGTGCAAGAAGACAAAAATCGACCCAAAAAAACAGAAACGGTACACAAAAAACGACCAAACAAAACACAAACGGAGAGAAAAAGAAGGCACCCAGTGTCGCTGGAATCTGACCTGCGCTTATCAGAGACCGAAGTTTCTTGATACCTCGTGCACAGGAAAAAGCGGATGGTTACAAAATAGCAATAAAAGAAATCGTGCACAGATCAGTGCTAAATGGGGGCTCTCCCGGAAAGCTATCGAGTTAATGGGGATCACAAGGGGTAAGAACATGGGGTCGAGGTTTCGAGGGCTTGGCGGGGTGGGGGACGGAGGCAGGGAAATTTCACGAGTAGAAATTAAATATATTACTGTAAATACAAATTAATAACTGACACCGCCACGCTAAAAACGGTGCTGCCTCACCTCATAACACAAGAACGCCTTCCTTTTATTTTGTGGTCCCCAATATCACTGGGTCCCTTCTGTTCTTCTCCCACCCATATCACTGGGTCCCTCCTACCAATATCCACACACCACTGAACGTTCGACGTTACTTCACTGTTTCTTCGGTTCGGTGTTTTTTTTACAATCTTATCATCTTTTCATCGTTGGTAACCCTCTCACCGTCTTTAGACAGCAGAGAGAAACCATACGAAATTATTCAAACCGGACGAAATTAGTTTTAAAAATATATATATATATATTTACAGGAAAAAAAAAAAAAAAAAAACGAAGTCATTCAACACCGCTGCATTCTCCCCCCGGCCCATTTCCTAAACCAGGAGTAGCACTTCGACGACGACCAAACAAAGACAACCTTTTCCTCGAAACAATTTCAAAACGACTTTATATAATCTGCCACTCGCGAGCTCCGCAGCGCACCAAACATATAAAGGCTATCTTCCCCCGAATAAAACGCACGGTCGTTACCGCTGCTGTATCGAACGACTGCGCGTTGCCCCAACTAGTGCTGATTTTTTTCTTTTCCTTTCCCAGATCTGATATATAGCATAACTAATTCTATATATATATATACATATAATAATCTATCTGTACTAATCGACCGCCAAGGATCTTATTCGGACGATAAAGAAAGCTGCCAATACACAACCCCTCATTTTATTAAACTTACCAACTACACCATGCGTTCTCTAAGGAGAGAATCCTTCCTCCCTTTCCCCCTCCTT